GCACGACCGGTCCAATGGACCGCCCCTGCTCCTCCAAAAGCCTCTTGTCCAGCACAGGCTGCTGGGGGCAGGGGGGAGGTTAAACTGCGTCGGTCTGAGCCCACCTACAGGGGAGGGCACAGGCCGGGAGGCTCAGCGGCTAGCCTGAGCCCGGGTCCTGGAGAAACAGCCGGAGGGAGTGTGGAGCTGACAGCCCACAACCCCAATGCCAGTTCTCGCTGTGGCCCCGGAGGTCCAGCCAGGCACAGTAAAGACTACACTTCCCAGCATCCCTTGCAGCCAGGTTTGATCAGGTGACCACACGATGGCCAATGGGATGTGACGGGACTTAAAAGGATGAGTTGGGAAGGAAGGGGGAGGTCTTCCCTGTCCGCAGTAACCCAGAATGCAGCCAGGAGAGCACCTGCCGACAGCGGGGAAGCCCCTGGGGGTGCGGCGGACCCTGCCTGGACCTCCCCTCTGCCCACTGACCTGAAGTCGGGAATGCCGGAGGCGGTGCTGATGCCCGCGCCTGTGTGGAAGACCACCCTGGAGGACTGCCAGACCAGCCTGGCCAGCTCCCTCACCTTCTGCTCCAGCTCCTCCGGCGGGTCGAAGATCTGGGGGAGAGCAGAAGGGAGGGTGGAATAAGTCCCCAGAGGGGCACGGCCCCAAGCTGTCCCTGCCGCACCTGGGTGGACACTGGACTGGACAAGGCACCTGGAACTGGAGCTGATGTCCCTCCAGGGCTCCCACCTCCCTGGGAGTCAAAGCCCACGTCCTCCCTGCAGCCCACCAGGCCTGCGCCATTGCCCTGTCCCCAACCCCCCTCACTGTGCTGTGGCCACACGGCCTCCTCTCTGTCCCTCCCACACGCCAAGCCCGGTCCTGCCTCAGGGCCTTTGCACAGCTGCGCCCTGCCGGGAATGCTCTCCCCCCGGCGCCCGCACGGTGCCCGCACGGCATCCTCCCGTACCTCCTCGAGGGCTGGGCTCTAGTGTCACCTCGCTGCCACCTCCCCTGCTGCCTGGCTTCCATTGTTCCACACTATCTCACTCCCTGCCCTGGCCCCAGCACCTGCAAGGTGCCCGGCCCACAGTAGGTGCTCAATTAATCCAAAATACCGGGGCCAGCAGGCGGGGCAAGGATGGCTTTCTGTCACTCGCAGGGGCAGGGCGCAGGGGGACCCCTCCGGGATGGGGGCGCTCCACCCCGTTCACCGGAGGGCGATGAAGACCCAAAAGGAGGGGACTCCGCGAGGTGCCACAGTGTAGGGAGGGGCCGGCCGGCCCCGCACCTCGCACTGTCCTGTCCCCCCGGCTCCACGCTGCAGCGTCACCCTCGGGACCAAGCGCCACCCCCCTGCCTTCGCCCCTGCCGCCCCTCCCGCCTGGACCCCCAGCCCTCCAGGTCCTCCCTCCCTCCAGCCCCCACCCCGAATTCTGGGCGTCACTTCCCGCCCTGCTCGCGGGGAAGCCCCTCCCATTGTCTGGCCTCAGTGTCCCCTGCCGGTCCCACGGCGCCCCGCCGCCGCTGCGCCGCCCAGCCCGTCCCTGGGGGCGGCCCTCGAGCGCCCCGGCCGCGCTCACCTCGGGGAGGCCGCACTTGCCCTTGTCCGCGTACGGCGACAAGCCCGCCGCGTAGTTCACCGACATCCTCGCCGCCCGACAGGAACAATAAAGTTTCCCTTGTTGAGGCCGCTTCCGCCGGAAGCGGGGCGGGACGGGGCGGAAGGAGGGGGCCGCGTTCCTAGCGACGCACCCTCCAAGGCGCATGCGCCGCAGCCTGACGCCGCGAGTGCCATGTTAATTGCTGGCAAAGAGATGCTTGTTCAAGGATTTACACTCTCGCGGGTCATGGGAAGGGGCAATCTGGTGACCCCGGAGGGAAGCTGGGGGTGCTGCCTACTTGAGAGTTCTCGGACACTTTTTTTAAAGCATTATTGGGACCAGCAGTTAGTGTAATGGCTATGTCGCTGAACTCCCATGTATTTGACCATGGTTCGAGTCCTGGACCTGATGGCTTAAACTCACGCCGGGCGCGGGTGCGTGCGTGCCCAAGATCCTGAGAGGAGAATGGAGGAGAAGGGATTGCAGCGTGGCCATCCCCCCGGGGGGTGATTTCTCCCTTTCTATTTCTCTGTCTCTCTCTTTCTGGAGAGCTCACATGCCCCATATATTAAAAAAAAAAAGCATTATTTATTTTATTTACTTATTATTATTATTTCACATGAGTCTGACCAGAGAAAGAGAAAGCAAGCCACCAGGTCCAGGACTTGAACCACAGTCGGCCATGTGGGAATTCCAGCACCTTAACCACCACACCTCATGCTGGCCCCTCTCACACACTTCTGAACCGGGGGGCACGAGCTATGGGTGCCCTCTCCGCCCTCCACAGGTTAATAAGTGACACTTAGAATACCACTCTTCCCTGTGGGTGCCTTGGCTGGTGGGGCTCTGTATTCCTCAGGACGGGCCCGACTGCAGGGTCCTAGGAAAAACAGAGAAATGCTCAATCAAGGTCATTCTCAGAGGGGAAGCGCGCGGGGAGCACCTACTGCGTGCTGCGGAGGTGCTGGGGTGGGAGGGATGAGGGCTGTCGATGGACACGAGTGTGTGGGCAAGAAGATGTGACAGGAGGCTGGGGTGCAGTGTGGGCCACACGGGGCCATGAGCGAGCTCACAGGGGCGCTCGACCCAGTCTGGGCGGATCTAGGAAGGCTTCCTGGAGGAGTGGTGCTGCAGTGAAGAGCTGAAGAGGAAGTGGGAAGAGATGGCGTGAAGCCACTGGTTGGGGGTGACACGGGTTATAGAAAGGGTGTTCCCAGGAGGGGGAACAGCACCTATGAAGGCTACAGGGGTGGAAGACCATGGGTGGCTTGTTCCAGAGCCTGAAATCAGTCCAGGGGTGATAGGGAAGAGGTGGTCTTCCTGCCAGGGCCCGCCGGCCAGCTGGCAGCTGGGCAGCTCACCTCCTCCCTCAGCCCTGCCCCAGCCCCCTGGGGCGGCCACTCAGAGCTGATCAGGTGTCACAGCCGAGCGCTGGGAGCTGCTGGTGTGAGCCTGTGTCCCAGCTGGGCGAGGGTAACCGGAGCCCGCAGTGGGCACGGCGGCTGGTGCTCGCTCCGGGCTCTGGAGCTGCAGGAGGTAGGAGAGGAAAGGGAGGGAGGCCTGGGGGAGGCTCCCTGGAGGGCTGTGGGAGACGAGATGTTGGCGCTGGGTCCCAGCCATGCTGAGGAGCTCCCGGGCACCCAGCACACACACGCACACCTGCAAAAAAAGCCTTCGCCCTGCTCCAGGTCGGACCTCTGCCCTGCTACCTGGGCCTCCTCACTCACCGTCGCCTCTCCTGACGTTCAGGGGGCATTTCCCTCTCCCAGGCCACCGTCTCCTGGGTGTCTTCTTACACCTGCGTTGGGTGTGACTGAACCCTCTGTGAGCAGCAGGAGGGAAAGCGGGTGCGTGGGGGCCACGGACTGCTGGAGGACTTCCGGGTGGCGGGATGGCGGGTGGATGGCAGAGTGGGTAGGTGAGTAGGCGGGGCAGAGGGGGCCGAGTGGCTGGCAAGGCGGGGAGGTGGACGGGTACGTGGCTGGTGGGTGCTGAGCAGGTAGCGAGGGCTGTGTGGCTGGCAGATGCGTAGGTGACAGTGAAGCCTGGGTGGAGGTGCTAAGGACCCTAAGAAGCAGGGGGGCAGCTGAGTGGAGGTGGGAGGATGAACACGGGGGTCCCTCGCCTCACCTCCCCGCCTCACCTCCCCACCTCTGCCTTCTCCAGGTGCCCAAGGAGAGGGGAAACACCAGGGGCCGGCCATGAAGACTCTCCGGGCGCGATTTAAGAAGACAGAGGTGAGTCAGAGGCCCCGAGATGCCCGGTACCCCAGCCTCCAGCTCCTGCCTCCCAGAGCTGGCCTTCGGACTGTGTCCCCTGCCCCTCACCAGATCATCCTGTGGTAGCTTCGATATGGCAGAGCCCTCCCTGCCCCAGACTCCTGCCTGACCCATAGGGGCACGTGGCCCTTTGGCCTCTGTCCCACTCTCCGCTGTCTGCTGCCCCCTGCTGCCCCGTCTCCTCTCTGCCTCGGCTAGCGGCCACCACACCTTGGCTGAGGCTGTTCCGTGCCCCCAGGCAGGACGCCCTGTCCCCGCCCAGCTGCCCAGCAAACCCTGCTCGGCCCTCCTCCTCCGGACGGGGCTCCTGCACCCCTGCCTCTGTCCACCGCCTTCTCCCTGCCACGCTGCCCGGCTGCTTCTCTGCAGACCCACTTTCCCGGGCACCTGCTCTCACCGGTATTGAGGCCAGGCCCATTGTAGACAGCGAGAAAATGGCTCTCGCAGGGCAGCCCTGAGTCCCTGCCCCCAGCAGCTGCCCCGGGTGTGGAGCCGGCCATGGACCAGACGGACCCGGTGGGGGTGGGGTTGGTTTCAGTTTAGCTTCGTTTGCTATGGAAAGAGGGAAAGTAAGAAAGCACCCCCGGGGGATGGCCACACTGCCGTCCCTCCGCCACTCTTCTCTTGGGCTTTTAGGCACGCGCACAAGCTGGGTGTGATTTTCAAGTCGCTGGGTCTGGGACTCACAGCAGAGCTGGCCATGGGAGATCCAGCAGCTTAACCTCCACGCCACCTGCTTGCTCAGAGTTTAAAGATCTTCATGTGGAGGGGGTGGCAGGTGGCGCAGTGGTTAAGGGCACTGGACTCACACTTGGCCGACCAAGGTTCAAGTCCTGGAACTGGTGGCTAGCTTTCTCTCTCTTGCTCTCACTCTGTCCCTCTCTGGTCAAATTAAAGTGAAAGAAAACAATTTTTTAAAAAATTTCATGTGGGGACCAGCAGGTGGCGGAACGGTTACATTGCTGACCTCTCACATAGTTGACCATGGCTCGAGTCCCAGACCTACTGCCTTGAGACTCACGCCAGGCGCGTGTGCGTGCATGCCCAAGATCCCAGAGGAGACTGGAGAAGGGATTGAGGCGTGGCCATCCCCCCCCACCGGGGGCGTTATTTCTTGCTTTCTGTTTCTCTGTCTCCGTCTCCCCCCCCCCCCAGTGCA